ACAATTCCCATCGATCCCTGACTTCCGGGTTTCCTATTTTTCCAGGTGAGCCCATGTCTGCACCTTTGTACTACATTTCCCAGAATCCTCCCACTTCTGGGTTTACGACCCCTCGCCACGAGTCCGTTTCACCCAAGCAGCCTCACTTGAACTACAACTCCCAGTCCTCCATGCTTCCTGGCCTCAACCAATCATCTTCTTTTTCTCCATGAGATCGCTCACCCGAGCCTATGCAGGTGGGGCGCGCACGGCTGACTCCTGCAGAGAGACAGCGGCGTGTATCCGCCCGTCTCTGCATTTATTGTGGTAACCCCGGTCATTTTCTGCCCCACTGTCCGTTTCGGGGAAAACGAGAACTTCCACCAGTAAAGCGGGAGTTACCGGTGAGAACTTCTGCGTTAACCTCCCCATTTAAACTGTTGCTTCCCATGGTCATTCAGACTCCTGACCATCGCTTTTCGTTCTCCGCTCTCATCGACTCGGGTGCTGAACAAAACGTGATTAGTGCTAATTTAGTTAGAGAACATTCCTTGCCTACTCGTGAGATTCCTCTGATTTCTGTCGCCGGCTTAACCGGAGACACATTGACCCGCATTAATCAGAAAACCACCGATTTGCATGTCATCATCTCTGGTAACCATCATGAGATGACTGATTTCTTTGTGTTCGACTCTTGTATGCCTCAGATAATTCTAGGTTTCCCCTGGCTTCGTAACCATAACCCTGTTATTAATTGGGAACACGGCTGCGTTGACAAATGGAGCGACAAGTGTCTCAGTAACTGTCTTCGCTCCACCATTAACGAGTTCCCTCGGGACACGCCTCCTCTAGAGGAGATCGACCTCACCTCTGTTCCTGCTGAATACCGCGACCTAGCAGCAGTCTTTAGCAAGCAACGCGCCTCGTCTCTCCCTCCTCATCGTCCCTATGACTGCTCGATTGACTTATTACCTGGCGCCCCCTTGCCGTCAAGTAGACTTTATAATCTTTCACGTCCCGAAAGGGAATCCATATCTAATTATATTAATGAATCCCTTGCCTCAGGTATTATTCGACCCTCGACCTCCCCTTTGGGAGCTGGTTTCTTTTTCGTTTCTAAAAAAGATAAGACTCCCAGGCCGTGCATTGATTACCGCGGATTAAACAATATAACTATAAAGAATAAGTATCCGCTCCCCCTCATTGACTCGCTGCAGGAACAATTACAGTCGGCTTCCTGCTTCACGAAGCTTGATTTAAGAAACGCCTACCATCTCATGCGTATTAAGACAGGTGACAAGTGGAAGACTGCTTTTCGCACTCCTTTGGGTCACTTTGAATATCTGGTTATGCCCTTTGGGTTGACCAACGCCCCCGCGGTTTTTCAGGCACTCGTCAACGATGTCCTGCGTGACTTTATAGGTAGTTTTGTTTTCGTCTACCTCGACGATATTCTTATTTTTTCTCACGACCCCACTAAGCACACTACTCACGTTCGCACGGTTCTTCAGCTGTTACTGGAGAACCAGTTGTTCGTTAAGGCGGAGAAGTATGAGTTTAATACCTCCACTGTCTCCTTCCTGGGTTTTATTTTCGAGGGCGGACGTTGTCGAACCGACCCTGAAAAGACCAGGGCTGTAGTCGACTGGCCGACCCCCGAGTCCAGGAAACAGTTACAACGTTTCCTGGGCTTCGCAAATTTTTATAGGTGTTTTATTGAGGACTATAGTCGTGTCGCCGCCCCCCTGTCTCAGCTCACTTCCACTGCCCGTGCTTTCCACTGGACCCCAGAGGCTGAGGCCGCCTTCAAGAGGCTCAAGTCCCTCTTTTCCTCCGCACCCATCCTCTGCCATCCAGACCCCATGCACCAGTTTATTCTGGAGGTGGACGCCTCTGACACTGGAATAGGGGCGGTTCTTTCCCAAAGATCACCTGCTGACAACAAAGTCCATCCCTGCGCCTTCTTTTCCCGACGTCTCTCTCAATCGGAGCGCAATTATGACGTGGGCAACCGCGAGCTGTTGGCGGTCAAGCTCGCGTTAGAGGAATGGCGGCACTGATTGGAAGGCACAGAGATCCCTTTTTTGATTTGGACAGACCACAAAAACCTGACTTATCTCAGGAACGCCAAGCGTCTGACTCCCCGTCAGGCCCGTTGGCCGCTTTTCTTTAATAGATTTAATTTTGTTCTTACTTTCCGTCCGGGTTCAAAGAACGTTAAACCCGACGCTCTGTCCAGACAGTTCGCTCCTCCCGACACACCTGAGGGTTTCGATACCATCGTTACCCCAACCTGCATTGTCGGCTCCCTCTCCTGGCCCATTGCTGCCACCGTTCAGGAGGCCCTCCTCTCCGAACCCGATCCTGGCGGTGGTCCCCCCGGTACCCTCTTTGTTCCCTCCAGCGTGCGGTCCAACGTGCTCCAGTGGCTTCACCCGAACAAGCTCTCTTGCCACCCTGGAGTCAACCGCATGCTAGCTCTCACTAAGACTCATTTCTGGTGGCCCTCCATGTCCAAGGACATTAAAGACTTTGTTTCGGCCTGTCCCGTCTGTGCCAGAAACAAGTCCGGTACCCAACCTCCGGCTGGCCCCTTACTTCCCCTCCCAACCCCTAGTCGCCCCTGGTCCCACATCGCCCTCGATTTTGTAACCGGCCTTCCCCCGTCTGACGGCAACACCACCATCCTCACCATTGTTGACCGTTTTTCAAAGGCTGTTCACTTTGTTCCCCTCCCTAAGCTCCCCTCTGCCCTTGAAACCGCTCACCTTCTCACCCTCCATGTTTTTAGGCTCCATGGTATCCCTTCGGACATCGTTTCCGACCTAGGCCCGCAGTTTGTCTCCCGGGTGTGGCACTCCTTCTGCAAGTCGCTCGGGGCGTCCGTTAGCCTTACCTCCAGCTACCATCCTCAGGCTAACGGGCAAGCTAAGCGTTGCAATCAGGAGTTGGAGTCCACCCTGCGTTGCCTGGTCGAGTCCAACCCATCATCATGGAGTCAACATCTGGTTTGGTTAGAATACGCCCACAACTCCCACCGTTCCTCTGCTACTGGTATGTCCCCCTTCGAAGCCTCCCTTGGCTACCTTCCCCCTCTCTTTCCCAGTCTAGAGCTCGACTGCTCGGTCCCGTCCGTGCAGCACCACTTCCGGTGTTGTCATCGCGTCTGGCGCCAGGCCAGGGTGGCCCTCCTTAGGACCGCGGCCCAGGCAAAACGGTTCGCAGACCGCCACTGTTCAGCGACACCCGCCTACCAGGTCGGCCAGCAGGTTTGGTTGTCCACTAGGGACATCAATCTGCGGGACACCCCCCGCAAGCTGGCTCCCCGCTTCATTGGGCCATTACCCGCATCATCAACCCCTCTGCGGTTCGTCTCCAACTCCCCAGGGCCATGAGGATTCACCCAACCTTTCACGTCTCCCAGGTCAAGCCCGTCTCCCTCAGTCCCTTGTGCCCCCCTTCAGACCTCCCCCCCGCCACCCCGCCTGATCGACAACCACCCTGCGTTCACCGTCAGATCCATCCTGGACGTGCGATGCAGGGGTAGGGGTTTCCAGTACCTGGTCAATTGGGAGGGGTACGGTCCTGAGGAGAGGTCATGGATCCCCAGATCCTTTATCCTCGATCCCAGCCTCATCTCCAGGTTTTTCAGGGACCACCCCGAGAAGCGCCTCAGGTCACCTGGAGGCGATTCTTGAGGTGGGGTTACTGTAAGGGTCCCACTGCTTGCAGCCTGCCTTGCTGATGGCCGCTGATTAACAACACCTGGCGGTCATCAGCCTGATGAGCCTCTCCATCTACAAAAGGATGCAGCCCAGTGTGACTCATCGCTGGAGCATATCACCTCTCATGTTTCCTGGTTTCTCGTGTTTTTGGATCTCCTCGTGACCTGATCTGGATCCCTCGGCCTGTCAGGTGTTCCTCATGCCATTTTTGCCTCCAGCTGCCAGCCTTCTTCGTTCCCTTGGACCCTCGTTGGATTTCCCTCCGCTGCTCACTCCTTGGACTGAAGGACCAGCTCCCCTCCGTCAGTTTTGGACTGTAAGGACAAAAACGCTCTTCAAACAAACCACTCAGGTCTTCCCCTCTGGACCAACCTTAACCTGTCACCCCTCTTTCCAGGAGTTGCAGAGAAGCAGCGTGTGGAGTAATTCTCACTGTAAATAAATAAACACTGTTCTTTTGTACTTCCCCTGTGTCTCCCTCGTTCTGGGTCTCATACCATCTGGGTTCCTCGCGTAATCCTAACACATGTCACTTTCACAGTTAACGCTGACATTTTTTCACTGTAAATGTCAGTAGATGAACTTGTTTGTGTTCCAACAACTGAAAGTAAAAACATTTAGATCAGGGATTCCCAAACTTTTCCATGCCATGGCCCCCAAACAGCATTAGCTTCTGGCCAAGGTCCCCCTCACAAACCCACAAACAATGCTACAATATGTAAAGTAACATCAACTTTTAGAATGTTTTAACTTTTTATTCACTATATTCAATTAATTATTACAGCTGCTGAGCATACAAATGTTATTAACTAACATATGCTGAACATACCTGTATTCCCACAGAAAAAAAATAAAACTTTTCAACTAAATGTTGACCAGAAGAATAAAACAAAAAAAAATCTAACCTCTCTCTCAAGTGTGTTTATCTGGAAATGACAGATACAGATTGCCCTAGTGTGTAATTCTTCTTATTATTATTATTACAATTTTTTATTTTTGCTTCTTTTAATCTTCTTCTCTCCAACTTTCTGAGGCCTCCCCGACCCCATGGTAGTCCCTCAGGGGGCCGCGGCCCCCCACTTTGAAAAACACTGATTTTGATAATCATCACAAGTGGGACGTGAACTTCTCTTTGCATCTCAATCATTTTCTGGGAAACAGACAAGAGGCACAGATGTTTGGAGAATCTGGCTCCTGGAAGCTCTAATAAGGATCAGATATAGTTAACTATTTTTTATTTGCATATTTTACATCACAGTATTCTGTGAAACACATGCTATTTTCTCGTTTCCTCAGGTATCGTCTCCCTGATCTCCCTGGCGGTCCTATCCTATGAGCGTTACTGCACCATGATGGCGCCCACTATCGCAGACGGCAGAGACTTCCGCCCGGCGTTTGGAGGAATCTGCTTCTCCTGGCTCTACTCCGTGGCCTGGACTGTGCCCCCACTACTGGGCTGGAGCAAATACGGACCCGAGGGCCCTGGCACTACATGCTCAGTGGACTGGAAGACCCAGACGCCCAACAACATTTCCTACATCATCAGCCTTTTCGTCTTCTGCCTGGCTCTGCCGTTCGCTGTAATCGTCTACTCCTACGGCAAGCTGCTGCACGCCATCAGACAGGTAAGATGTTTGCTGTTATCAAACATGAAAAAAGGCTGACTGGGTTGTAGATCTGAACGTTCACTTAAAACCATTTCAGAGTAGACTTTAGAAAAGACTGGATTTGAAAACTGAGAATGTTCTGATCTTGGGATCATGTTTGACTTTTAAAAAACTTTCCCATTAAAGCGTCCAACATTATGATGTCTTGGTGGTTTCAGAAATATTTTGCTAACCAACAGGGTTGACTTCAACAGATAAAGCAAACGGTTTCAGTAAATGATTAGTGCTCATGATATGTGCTGGGGGTGACTACCAACTACTCCTATATGGAGGCTGGAATGCGACAAAATTAAATCAGTAACTACATCATGAAATACATATACATATATATATATATATATATATATATATATATATATATATATATATA